TTGCCCTGTTCTCTTGCATCTCTGGTACATAACTCAGCACTACTCTCCACGGGCTCACAGTGTCTGAAAGAGATGAAGGAATAGTCAAAGAAGTCTCATTGCCACGAAGAAGATCAAGACCGCCATGGTACTATCATGAAAACACGGAAAAAATGTAGTTAGAATTGATGATGTGACTAATTTACTGTGTGTTCTCTCTACCATCCATTATTTGTATCTCTATGCATTGCGCAAAGCCGTCAGCTCACTATCAGAATTTTTTGGGATTTTTTGACAATTTTTGCAATTTTTTGCTAGGCTGTCCGGAAAATCCGCGCAGAAATGGCCCACAGCGCCGCAGGCTGTCCGAAATCCGCACAAAATGGCCGTTTGGAGGCCGCGCATGGGAGGCCGAAATTCGGGACATTTCCGGATGGCCTTTTTGGGCGCTTTCGGGGGTCCTCCCGTGAATCGCTCATCATAATTACCCACTTTGCACCCAAATATACCTTTTTGTACAAAAGATAATCGTAATCGGCTCAATGCAACAAGTTTTTCCCTTTCCTCCTGCAGAAACCAACGTCAATCAAACCTCGAATCAAACCTGTATGGGCTCTAAGTGTTTACACTCCTCCATGCCTGTCAGTTGACGGTATAGCAACACCCGAGCTTCTATCATAGCGCACTCGACTGTCGAAGTTTAGTGATCATCCTCCCCCCTCCCAGTCGCCTTCGCTGTCCTCCTCTCCTCTAGCGTCGACTCAACCAAGGAACTTTCATTTTTGGGTCCTAACACGACATATCCACCATCGTCTCCTCCAAGCTCAGTACGTGAGTTTACCCTCATGTAACCTGCCCTCATACTTACTAACGAATCTCCCCGTCAGAGAAATTGCTCACCAAGCTCGTGGCCAAACGGGTCTACAAATGAGCCTGCCACGACTTGTTGATCCTCGTCTCTTATCACTTCCTCTGCTGCATTTCGCATGTCCTAATCAATGACGGATGTCCTGCCTGAATTGATTGCAGAGAAACTATCGAGTTTTATCCAAGCAGGACGGCGCCTTTGGGACAGTCTTCCTATTAGGCAGAGATATCAAGTACAAACGTCTTCGAAGCTTGTAATTCTCCAAATGCCAGGCTTGACATTCTGAACATCTCGGAGCTCGTAGCCATCGGGGATGCTCAGTACGATGTCTCCGACGAGCAAGGTGCCCTTTGGGTCGACCTCGTAGATATTGACGGGCCAGTACGTAGGTCCTTACACTGGCAAGAACGAGACATGGCTGATAGGCTCATCGCAAACAGCTTGACATATGTGCTTCCGTTAAGCTTCTTAGTACTCTCCCGTACACTATTCATCCATGCATCAATTTGATCGTCAGCCATAGAACCTGAGGAACATTGTAAGTTGCGGTACGCTTGCTATACTTCCAGGTCCAATTGATATACTGTAGCGCTTTATACAGTGTTCTACAGTTCTAGCCTCTACTCATCCATGATCTTTTCGGACTTTGAGGTCCTCAGATACTAGTAATTATAACTTATGAAAGTCAAATCAACGTTGCTCGATGCAGAACCTCCAGAATCTCCTCATGGCACTTGTAGTCTCGCAATTTTTTTTGGGGGGGAAACATGGCGATGAGCGATGTATAATTGGATGAACATTTTAATTCGCGGTAAGTTTTGGTCCTGCTGGTAATGGCTCCGAGCTTACTATCAAATGTCCTCGTCCTCTTCTTCATCCTCCCTCCGACCCTCTCTGACTTTCAACTGAACGACGGTATTCTCATGTTTTCGAACGTAGACGCGATAGCCTCCATCGTGTACACACGCTACAAATTCCATCTGACTGAGGCTCCGATACAACGAGGGCAAGAGGAGGAAGAACTTACTGAAAAAACCTCCCGGAAGTACGCCTTGGTACCCCATCCTGCGGCTAAAGGGATCCTGGGAGACCTCAATTACTAGTCTTTGGTCACCTGTAAGCCCAATGTACGTCTCCATCATGTTCTTGTCCATGATGCTCATCTTTCCAGAATCCACGCCAAAACTTGCAACCTCCTGCCAATCAGTCAGCGGTACAAAGGTGGGTTGCGGGTATGTTCCCTCAGTTGGCAGGTTGTCCAGCTCCAGAGGGCCTGTAGAGACCCAGGAAAATTGCCAGTGGATGATTTCACCATGATCATCCTCCTCGTCCATCCATCTCGTCCTCCAGATCCCTGGCTTTAAGCCTCGAACGGTTCGATATTGATTAATGCGACTAAGAACGTTTGCATCCGCCACAAGGACGGTGCCATCAGGGCCGACCTGATACGTAAAGTTCAGTACATCTAATACCGCCGGTCTCGGTGACGTTATCACGTACCTCAAAGACCTGAGGCTTGTTATCGGTCAGCTTCACGGCTTGCCCATCCAATTCTTTTATCCATGTGCGAATAGTTTGTTCATCTGCGCGTTCCAACAGGGTTTCTTCCATGGGGTTTCTGCAGACTAAGCGAATGTATCTCCACGTCACTGGCTTTGCAGGTTCACACACTGTATCCTCGAGACAAGGGAATCCCCAAAAGGATAGCCGAGCGGTTACCTCGGCATTAGTAACGGATGGGAGATGATCAAGTAAAATCTACTACGTGACCGGCAGGTGAGTCTAGTCGGTTGCTGGGAGATCCTAATACAACATGCAGGTAGTAACGGGTTGCGGACTTGCACAGCAAAGTTAAGTTTCATCTGATTATTAATGTCTGTATTGAACAAACCAGTAAAAAGAAGATTTAAGGACAGCTCCCGGAGGGACTCGAACCCTCAACCTCCAGATAATCTACGACTTAGAAGTCTGACGTCATAACCATTAGACAACGAGAGCTTGTAATTATATTGGCTTTGTGGATTATATTGGGGTAGAAGAGGGATATCCATAATACCAGTCTCCCTTACACAAGGCCAAGGGCTGCCAAGAATTGATGCCTGGCATGCTACCTCTCGTTTCAATTTCGACTGGGCGCCCTTTAAGAATGAAAGGATATAGATTTCCGAAGCAATGTAATTACTCAACATTGTCCGCCATATTTACATGCCGCGCTGCGCCATTACCAAGAGGTCCAGCCGTGTTTCTGTGAAGCCTCGAAGGTTTGAGATCCAAAATAACTCATCAACAGACCCGTCGTGTTGAAAAAAAAATGGAAGTATATCTGAGCGACTCGAACTGAAGCTCGCAAATCGACATGTTGGGATTATTGAATGATATCTCGGGTACTATGGGCCCTTGATTGCATTATTGAGTCGTCAATGAAAGATTTTTTGGACGATCGTTACTGGTACAATTGTTAGTAGGTGATCGTTTTGAATAAGCAATTCTAGAATTGCCGCGGCTAATTGTTTGTTTGTGGGCAGTTTCGCGTTCGTTGTTGTGACCGTGGGCCAGCGAATTTACTGAGATTTGAAACCGGTATCATGGGGAATTCATGAGACCAATCGTATTCCACTGGAAAGGCTTGACTCAGAGGAACTTTTACTCGGCTGCGGATTCGGAGTTGCCGGTAGGTCCTCGTCCATGCGTGCGATGTGTTATGATACGCTGCAATTTCGGCTGCTACATTCTAGACAGATAGCGCTGTAGTTGAGCAAATGGAGGCCGCATCTCGTCTTGGTCGAGAATCACGATCGTTGGCGCCATCAAGTTGTTGAGCGGCCAACGTTCAATCGCCTGAATTTGCAAACAAGTTTGTAGTTGAGAAGCTTGGTATGATATCCACAGCCAATCGTTTTGAGGACGAAAGATTGTTAAGTTCGTGGGAGGAGTCACTAAGATTGAGTTGATGGCAATTTGACAGCTGAGGACTCCGAAGATCATCACTGGCGCCACCAGAAGGCCATCAGAAATTCAGAATACGAGACAACTGGAACGGTCAAGTTGTTTGTTGTATCGCAGATAGCCGGCGGTAAGACTCGAATCAGGACAGGTTGATCAGCCTTGTAAGTACATGGAGTGCAGGAGGTAGCAGCGTAGTTGACTGAGTATGCTAGCCAGTGTTCTACGAGACAGGTGTGATATTCTAGAGCGCCGTTGTGCGGTGTGGTCCGTGCGTGGGATACGTGGCGTTGTGAGCGATAAGAATATTGTTTTGTCTGCGAGGGTGGGCAGTGGACGGTGTTGGGTCAGGAGGGGGATTGAATTTCAAGCTCGGCGAGATCGGGTAGGCGCTGGCGCCTGTGAATGAAAGTCCGCGGCCCTTTGATGGGGGCTATTTCACACGAGTCGAAGCACTGAAGACAACGGGAACAAACGAAGACTCGGATAGGTCCTGGTGTCCGTCCGCCTCTCATCCACATACCAATGCATACAGCATCTCCCCCTCGAGGCTCACCACACAATCGTGGCTCGCCATCACGTCGAGGCGGCATGCGGACATCCCCAGACAGTCCAGGCCGAGCAGGGTCCTCAACGGCTTTTTCTTCCAGGCCAACGGCTACTTTCACTACATGTCTCGACATCCCTGTCCAGGGAGCAATTCCAATCGAGAAACTCGACCATACTCCTCCTGGGTCTCGCAAAGAGGTACAACAGCCGTCTGTCACTGATTCTAAGCGAGCGCCCCGCAAGTCCAAGACCGATGCCATAGCTGCCCTGAGCGCCAACAGCGACCGCGAGGACATTCAGAGTCGCACTCAAGATGACGCAGGTACCAAGGTAAAAATGAGGGATGGGCCTCCAATTAGTGTCAATCCCGTACTCGATCTATCATCGGTCAAGACCCCCAACCCACGTAACATGCCATCGAAGCCAAAGGAGCGTCCTTTTGGTCTCACCGATTGTCCTACTTTCCGACCAACACCAGAACAATTCAAAGACCCTATGGCCTATGTTAAGTCAATATCGGAGAATGCAAAGAGTTATGGGATGTGCAAGATCATACCACCTTTAGGGTGGGCGATGCCCTTCGTGACTGATACCGAGGTGAGTGTCCTTCTATCCTCCCGTAAGGATCATCCCATGTGCTTTTCATTGGCTCAACGACTCTTAGACGTTCCGTTTCAAAACACGACTTCAACGGCTGAACTCCATCGAGGCATCCTCGCGTGCCAAAGTCAATTTCCTCGAGCAATTGTATCGGTTTCACAAGCAACAGGGAAACCCACGGGTGTCTGTCCCAACTATCAATCATAAGCCGCTGGATCTATGGTTGCTTCGTAAAGAGGTTCACAAGTTGGGCGGCTATGATGCGGTATATCGTCTACATCATTTCGCGCCACATCGACTCATTTCAATATCACTCTTCACAGGTCACTCGAAGCAAGAAGTGGGCGGATCTCGGACGCCTTTTAGGATATGGAGGTATCCCTGGACTAGCTACTCAGATGAAGAACTCATATGCCCGGGTCATATTGCCTTATGAGCACTTCTGTGAGCACGTTCGGAACTCACCCAACATGTCTCCTTCCAAGCCACACGATCCCACCCTAAAGACTCACATGAATATACAATCCGCCGGTAAATCCGTTCGATCGAGTATCGGTGCCGGTGACGATAGCCCGCCTTCCAGCCCATTGACGGCCACATCCAGTCCGCTCTCTGAGCCTCCAGATGAATCTGATAAGAACGACTCTACGAGGCCAAGGAGGAGTGCGCGGCAGACTTCTCATGAACAACCGACCCGTAAGTAACTCGCTATCACCACCTAGGATCTGCTGACATCCATGCGGGCTGCTCAGCTTCACACAAACCTCCTAGCACTATAGAAACCCTCCCGCCCTCTCTCAATGGAGCTGACTCGAAAGATAGACGGTCACCTTCTGAGGTGCGTTCCGACCCCCGCGCGGTGTCTCGAGCGCTAAAGGCATCACAGCCTCATTGTGAAGTGTGTCAAAAGAAGGATCGCGGCGAGGAGATGTTACTATGTGACGGATGCGATTGCGGTACGAGCTCTTAAACTCAATCGAGTTTCAAAGTGCAATGTTTGATTTTTACGAATTAGGTTTCCATATATTCTGTCTAGATCCTCCGCTATCCAGTATCCCCAAGGGACAGTGGTTCTGTCATATTTGTTTGTTCGGTACCGGCGGGGATTTTGGTTTCGACGAAGGCGAAGAGCACAGTCTCTCGAGTTTCCAGGCCAGGGATCTGGAGTTCCGCAAACTCTGGTTCTCTTCTCACCCTCCATCGAAGGCCAATGGCGATCGTGAACGTGTTTATGACGGCGACGCAATTTCAAGAGCAAATGCTCCTGACCCATCTGTCAATCGCTTTGGAGACATTGTTGTCTCAGAAACCGATGTTGAGAGGGAGTTCTGGAGGCTCGTGCAATCTCCAAACGAGACCGTTGAAGTCGAGTACGGTGCTGACGTACATTCAACGACTCATGGGAGGTGGGATTCAGCTTCCGTTACGTTTCCATTCGGGTGCACCATCTGATTCTTCTCTTCATAGTGGCATGCCCACTTTGGAAACTCATCCCCTCAATCCCTATTCGAAGGATCCGTGGAACCTAAATAATATTCCGATTCTGTCCGAATCTCTTTTACGCTTCATCAAGTCAGATATCTCGGGAATGACCGTTCCGTGGACGTATGTGGGCATGATTTTTTCAACGTTCTGCTGGCACAACGAGGTACGCCTCTTTGGTTCACCACCGTACGATCATGCTCAGGTCGATCGCCGTGCTCAGGATCACTATACATATAGCATCAATTATAGTAAGATATATTCGTCTCGCTTACATCCTGTACTTGAACTGATTGAGTTCTGATAACCAGTGCATTGGGGCGAGACAAAGACTTGGTACAGCGTGCCAGGCGAGGACGCGGACAAATTTGAAGCAGCGATCCGCCGAGAAGCTCCAGACTTATTCGAGGCTCAGCCAGACTTGCTTTTCCAGCTGGTGACGCTCATGAACCCTCAAAGGCTGAAGGAGGCCGGTGTTGAGGTATACTCCTGCAACCAAAGGGCCGGAGAGTTCGTGGTCACCTTTCCCAAAGCATACCACGCTGGATTCAACCATGGAGTGAGTTTGCCTGATAGCTCCTCATTTTGATGATGATGCTGAGAACCTTTTGTCAGCTGAACTTCAACGAAGCAGTCAATTTTGCGCTGCCGGATTGGTTGCCGCAAGGTTTGGACTGCGTGAGACGCTACCAAGAACACAGGAAGCTTCCAGTGTTCTCCCACGATGAATTGATCATCACGATTACGCAGCAGTCACAATCCATCAAGACCGCAATTTGGTGTGTCTGTTTTCTCTCCTCGTGGTCTGCCGGCCCCTGATTGCCGCCTGGTAGGTTGAATGACAGTCTGCAAGAGATGGTCGACCGAGAGCTCGACGCTCGAACTCAAGCTCGAGCCATGGAAATGGACGAAGTTCTCGAGGAGTCCGATCGACCCGAAGACCAGTATCAGTGCACTATATGCAAGACTTTCTGCTATCTCTCACAGGTCACTTGCGCCTGCACGACCAAGGTTGTTTGCGTTGATCACGTTGATCAGCTATGCAAGTGCCCAAAGACAAGTCGCGTGCTTCGCAAGAGATTCAATGATATAGAATTGCAGGACACGCAATTCAAGGTGGCAGAGCGAGCAGAGATACCTTCCGTCTGGCGGGCTAAGCTCAACAAGTTGCTGAGCGAAAGTGCCCAACCCAATCTGCGCAGCTTGCGTACTCTACTTTCTGAAGGCGATCGTATTATCTATCCACTTCCGGAACTGCATTCACTTCGCAAGTGCGTGACTCGGGCGAACGAATGGGTCGATGCCGCGAACTCCTTTCTAATTCGCAAACCGTCTCGGAAGCGCCCCCGTCGGCTACGTGGACGGGTCTCTGGAGGGGACGCTGCCATTGGCGACGAGGTTATGGTGGACAAATCTGATCGCTC